CACCAGAGGAGCAGGAAAGTCATCGTTTCGGTTTGGGGACCCTTGTTGGTTTGTATGATGCAATTGCAGTGATGAGGACAGCAGATAAGTAACTGCACAGTTTAAATCATGCATTAATTTCACTTTAAAATCCTGGCTAAACCTTGTGCAAATTATTGAGACAACCAAGCGCAGGGTAGTTTAAATACAGCCTGCTTAATCACTTTCAATTCACTCACTGATTTCCTGTGTGACTCCTAAATGTTGTAAAGACCTGTTGTTTGACTTGATCCAACTATTCTACAGACCACATTGCCAGTTCCTACTCCAAATATAGGTTCCTTTCAGGAATAATACAGCAGAGAATTAAGCTGACCATGGAAAACTGTACATGGAAACTAGTAAAGGAAATAAAAGACAAAGCTAGTGTATGAGAACAGATTGTTGAGAAACATAAAAGGGAGTCCAAAGTCTTTTATAAACATACAAGTAGGAAAAGGCTTATCTAAGGAAAGGTGGAATGAATTAGGGACAAAAATACCAGTTTGTAGAGGCAGAGGCACTAAATGAGTGCTTTGCGTCCATCTTCACTGGAGGGTGCCAGCAATATCACAGTGAAGCAGAAGATAGCAGAGAAATGCATAATAGAGGAGATACTTAGAAGTTTGCTAACACTTCAAAAAAGAAATTTCAGACAATGTGGATGGGTGCTTCCTGGATTGCAAAGGAAAGTAAAGGTGGAAACAATGAAAGCTCCAGCCACAATTTCACAATCTTCTTCTCCTCCTCAAAATAATGGGAATGCTGCAAAGTTTTCATTTGTTATAAAAGGAAGATAAATGGACCAATTATGAGTCAGCCAACCTAATGGTTAGGGCAAATTTTAAGCCAATAATCTAGGAGAAAATGAATTGTAACTTGGAAAGATATTGTTGAATAAACCAAACCTAGTACAGGTTTATCATAGACAAATCACGTTTGATCAACTTAATTGAATTCTTTGATCTGCAATCAAAGAGCATTGATCAGGGCAGCACAGTTGATGTTACCCATTAGGAACATTCAAAAGATGTTTGATAAAATATCACAATAGACTTGTAGAAAATATAAATCCCAAGTGATTTGTGGAATAGTGGATAAAAAAAATTAACTAAGGGACAGAAAGTGAATTCCCCAGAGGAAACATTTTCCTAATACTCAACATACCTTGCACAACAGTTATTAATTCAACTCCTCCATACTGTGAGATTCAAAATTACTTTTGACAGGCCCATGGGGTTACAAAAATTTGCTTGGTATCCCAAATCAAATTTGCCCATGCACTTGAAAGGAATTGTCACTACATTCACTAAAAGCCTCCATCCTCCAGGAGTCAGGAATCCTCCAAAAATGTTGTCCAGAAAGATAGCCTGAATTCAGTCAATGAGTTGTACATTTCTCCTCACAAGAGTATAAACTTTACATCCAACAATTTAAATCTGGTGCAGATGGTAGTGCTCTTGCCTCTGAATTACAGGGCTATGAGTTCAAAACCTACAAGGGATTGGACCAGAAACAATTTAACACCAACACTTCAATCAGAGAATGAGATGTTAAACAAAGATTCAATCACTTACTTGTGTCAGTATTGTCCAATGTGGCTAATCAAGAAACAAGATTTGGCTCACAGCATTTCTGATCAGTAAATAAGGAGCAGGTACACTGATTGGACATGTAAACTGGAGGCAACCCTTACATTTATTGGGGAAGATGATGATGAAGAAAATGAAAAACAGCGTCAACTCTATATTTATTGTTATGAATTCTTTACTTTTCTTGATTACTGAATGGCAGTGTCTGTTAAATGAATATACGAATATTCTCCAAACTAATGAGGCTGAAGGGTGAATGTGAAAATAGCATTGTGTGTCCAGAATTGTCAGCTACGCATGAGGAACATCAGGATTATTTAGAGCTGAAAATGGAAGAAGATGATGCCTCTTACAAAGTGTTGTATGAATGGGTCTGGTTTACTGACTTCCTTCAGGAAAGTCCTTTCAAACAGAACCTAGTACAGTGCATGGTTCTAAATTGTATAATGTCTGATTCAAGGAAACATGGTAGTAATATTGTGCCATGTTTCTTAGTTTTTAAATTTAAATTCCTTGAAAGTGGAGTTGCAGGTAGACAGGGTAGTGAAGAAGGCATTTGGTATGCTTGCCTTTATTGGTCACTGCATTGAGTAGAGGAGTTGGGAGGTCATGTTGCGGCTGTACAGGACATTGGTTAGGCAACTTTTGGAATACTGCATGCAATTCTGGTCTCCCTGCTACAGGAAGAATGTTGTGAAACTTGAAAGGATTCAGAAAAGATTTACAAGGATCTTGCCAGGGCTGGCGGGTTTGAGCTATAGGGAGAGAATAAATGGGCTGGGGCTATTTTCTCTGCAGCGTAGAAGGTTGAGGGGTGACCTTATAAAGGTTTATAAAATCAAGAGGGGCATGGATAAGGTGAATAGTCAAGGTCTTTCCCCCAGGGGAGGGGAGTCCAAAACTAAAGGGCATAGGCTGAAGGTGAGAGGGGAAAGATTTAAAAGGAGCAACTTTTCACACAGGGGGCGGTGCACATATGAAATGAGCTGCGAGGGGAGGTGGTGGAGACACATACAATTACAACATTGAAAAGGCATCTGGATGGGTACATGAATAGGAAGGGTTTAGAGGGATATGGGCCAAATGCTGGCAAATGGGACTAGATTAATTTAGGCTATCTGGTCAGCATGGATGAGTTGGACCGAAGGGTCTGTTTCCGTGATGTACGGCTCTGTGACTCTACATACATGAACCACAGCTAACTAAATTTGAAAGAATGCATAATGCACTTGTGACTAAAATTAGTTTATGGGACTGAAATGGTGTTGTCATAACAACACCTGTGGCTGGTCAGTGTTTCCTATTGAACAGTATCAACTTAAGGTGGGTCCCTTGGTACTATGTGAAGGAGGATTTCTGTTGAAGTTAAATGGGGGTCCATTCAGTTATCAGAGCCTCCTGATGTCTGAAATATATGTAAATATAGTCTTGTGTAAATAACAAATGCCTTAGGTTTGTTTGTTGGATAGAGTCACACTCCAATGTTTGTTTCTTTCTTCATATGCTACTGTACAGAACCAAACTGCTTTAATGACTATGTATGTCTATTAAGATATTGTTATGAATAAAGTATATATTTGAAATAAGAAAAAGGAGCTGCAAAGTGCCTTGGTCAACATTTGTCCCTTAATGAATGCAATCAGAGATTGGTGAAGCAGACTTTCGTCTTACTTAATGTTTGTGTCTTTGTCATATTACTGCCCATTTGGAGATAAAAACATTTAAACAATGTAGGCAGAAGACAAGAAAAATGTTGCGCTTATTGGAAGACCAAATGTAGTTTTAAACCTAAATGTTCACATTGCTAGCCTGTGCCAGACTTCCACTGTACTGACAGGCACCAGGAAGATCGAGCATATTGTCACCATGTGAGAAACATGCAATCAGATAGGTGGCACATGTAGGCCACTAAACGGGAAGGAGGCAAGGCAGGCATTCATAACTAAGACAAGTGGGACGAAGTCAAGATGTTTGTGAAACATTTATCAGGGAGTTTGGCTCTACCACGCAGTGAAGCCAAGATTAAAAGCCCAAGATTACCAGTACACCCACCCCCCCAAATTTCCCCAACATTGGAAAAACAATTGGCTTAGTACTGACTGCTGCTACACTGCCATCTCCTGGTCTACCTAAGTGGTATTTACCATGGTGCTATCCTTCCTTTAGGTCCAGAGGATAGAAACACTTTATTAACCACCTTCCTCAAGCTTTGATCACTTTGCCTAATTCATTCACATGACATTCACAAAGGTACCTTGAGACTCATAATTCAGTCAGGTGCACAGTCTTGAAGTAAGAAGCATACATCACTTGGGATTTTGATTAGAAATCATGCCCATGGGCTTTGGAGAGGGAGCATATATTTTGTTGATGCAAACATCTATTCAGGTTAGACACTGTGCAGTGCTACGTCAGTTGATTGACATCAATGAAGGACACGAGAGACACAAAAACACTTAACTGTGAATTTCAAATGTTCACAACACACATTTGTGCCATTGCTTTCCCATCTCGTGAATTTACAACCACAGATGGATCATTAAGGATGGAGAGACAGAGTACAGGGAAAACGAACTATCTCCGCATAGAGGGAAGGGAAAAAGTAATCGCCAATAAGCACTCTGCCATGAGATCCTACTGAGCTCTTTCGAAATTGAATGGGATTGCATTGCAATAAAGCTATCACTGCTAAAATGGAACCAGCTATCTAGGGATAAAACTGCATCTAACTTTATCACCATGGTAATAGTTTTCACTTTTCCAGGCTCAGTTACTCATTTTGCAATCCTCCCCTCACAAAGTTTATTGCTCATTTGTAAACAGCTTTTGTAAAATTACAGTAAGGTCAATGGTCAATATTCTGAGTAGGTTTTAATAAGCCTTCTAGCTCACTGGTTTTTCGTCAGTTTTGTAATATTAAAGAATGATTTCTTCACTACAAAGCCCACTGTTGATTATTATTTAAGGTGAGAAAGTGAAATTTTGAGCTTTGGTCACGATGTAGTGACAAAGAATTTTTTTTTTAATTATGGAGCCTTCATGTATGAATTAGCATATTGTTAATTTTTGATGGAATGCCAGTGTGTGATGAAAGAAAACGGAAGTAAATTGGTTGAAATCTACTGAAGTTGCCATAAAAGTAAGTGTCAAAGGATTAGCAACATAACAAATGAACTTTTAACCCTTATTTCTGTGAAGTAGTCACAGCCTCAAACTCTCAGGGCCACCCTGAATACCTTCATGCAAAATTTGTTTTCACCTAGTGTCATTTCATGTGATGACTTGGGCTCTCCATTGCAATTCATCAATCCAGTACATAAGAACTTTGACTAAAGTGGTTCCTCTGTGATCTACCTGACAGTAAGCTATACATTAAGCACATGGACATACCTGGTGTGCATCATCCATTCCGTTGCTAGCAAATTCAAATACCAGCTCAGTCTGTTGGACTGCGGCAGCCATGACTTTCAGAGCAAGGCCTCCAGCAGCTCTCCAGGATCAGGATAAAAGAGACTTTCTCAACGTTTATAGGAAGGAAGGCTGCTTTGAGATTCAGGAGGTTGTCAGTGTGGAGAAATAAAAGAGTCTTGTTGGTTTCGATGACTTCAAGGTGACCAAGCATGCGCCAAAGGCTCTTAATCAGAATTGCACATACATCACAGGGTATGACGATGATGCGCAGACAGCAGACAACCTTCTCTGGTACTGGACGCTCGATTACACTCTCACAGAGAACGTAGGTTCTTGAAACATCATGAGTTAGATCTGAAAAAGTAAAGCATAAAGGATACGTTAATCTGGCAGCTGGCACATCACTGGTCACAATAAAGACTGGGAAGAAAGGTTAATATTTATTCCAAACATTTGAGCTAGTGACGCTGGTACACAAAGATCAGGCAGCCTAGTTACTGGTACAGGACAGGCTTTTCAGTAAATCTGGTCCCAATGGGTTCCCCAAAGTAAAAGAATCAAGCACCCAACAATGCAAGTGGCATGATCCAAAATCAGATTGACTTGAAGTATAAATACGTTTGCATGATTTGCTGGCTCAGTATGTCTCCTAGAGTTTTGTTACATCTTTGTTTCAGGCAATTACAGAACCACTGATTTTATTGTTTTGAAAAGGGGTCTTATTCGTTAATTGGAATGACCGTGTGTAATATCGCAACACTGTGCAGGCAGACAGAAGGTGTGGATTTGCAAAAATGGTTCTAAACTTGGGGAGTTGCCAATTGTGTCAAACTCATGAGGGAGAGGTGTCAAGCACAGACCTTACACTTTCACGGAGGATGCAAGAAGACAGAGTTCTGAGTACATCACTGATACTTTGATGCACTTGTATATGGATTCAGCAGCCAGAGTTTGGCAGATGCCTGGTAACTGAATGGTCTTTGTCTGGCTTACGGTGAGCAATATGTAGTTTCATGAGAAATAGCAGAAAGAAAGTAAATAAAACAAAGAAGTGCAAAGTTATACAGGTAGAAATCTTATAAAGGACACCACTGGAGTACAGCTTTATAAATCCAAATTTTCCAACCTTTGTAAGCCTTTAATAAAGGCAGAAGGACAATTCTGTATTAAGCACAAAGTTTATTCATTTAGGGGTCTAAACTTGTGAAATGTTGTTGTACACTGTTCTCCAGGATCTCAAAAAGGAGCTCATTGTACATACACACCATGTAGTGCAGATGAGTCCTTTGAACTTATGTGAACTACACTAGGGGGCATCTCAGTTCAAGGCAAAGCTAAAAGCCCTTGAAGCAAATAAGATACAATTTATGGCAATTGCTTTAAGTGCATTCATGCCTTGACAGAAACTGCAGACAAAGGAAACTTCCACAACTTGTTTTGAGTGTTGGCCCACATGGTTCCTTTGTAAATGTCAAGCGAATGAACTAGGCAAAGCGATCAAGGCTTGAGGAAGGCGGTTAGCAAAGACAGTAGGAACTGCAGATGCTGGAGAATCCGAGACAACAAGGTGCAGGGCTGGATGAACACAGCAGGCCAAGCAGTATCATAGGAGCAGAAAGGCTGACGTTTCGGGCCTAGACCCTTCATCAGAAAAGGGGGAGGGGAAGAGGGTTCTGAAATAAATAGGGAGAGAGTGGGAGGTGGATAGAAGATGGATAGAGGAGAGGATAGGTGGAGAGGAAACAAACAGGTCGAAGAGGCGGGGATGGAGCCAGTAGAGGTGAGTGTAGGTGGGGAGTTAGGGAGGGGATAGGTCAGTCCAGGGAGGACGGACAGGTCAAGGGGACAGGATGAGGTTAGTAGGTAGGAGATGGGGGTGCGGCTTGAGGTGGGAGGAGGGGATAGGTGGGAGGAAGGACAGGTTAGGGAGGCGGGGACGAGCTGGACTGGTTCCCATTCCTCAGACAACATGTCCATCCTGGGCCTCCTGCAGTGCCACAATGATGCCACCCGAAGGTTGCAGGAACAGCAACTCATATTCCGCTTGGGAACCCTGCAGCCTAATGGTATCAATATGGATTTCACAAGTTTCAAAATCTCCCCTCCCTCTACCGCATCCCAAAACCAGTCCAGCTCGTCCCTGCCTCCCTAACCTGTTCTTCCTCCCACCTATCCCCTCCTCCCACCTCAAGCCCCACCCCCATCTCCTACCTACTAACCTCATCCTGTCCCCTTGACCTGTCCGTCCTCCCTGGACTGACCTATCCCCTCCCTAACTCCCCACCTACACTCACCTTTACTGGCTCCATCCCCGCCTCTTCGACCTGTTTGTTTCCTCTCCACCTATCCTCTCCTCTATCCATCTTCTATCTGCCTCCCACTCTCTCCCTATTTATTTCAGAACCCCCTTCCCCTCCCCCTTTTCTGATGAAGGGTCTAGGCCCGAAACGTCAGCCTTTCTGCTCCTATGATGCTGCTTGGCCTGCTGTGTTTATCCAGCCCTGCATCTGGTTAGCAAAGAGTTTCTTTTGCTGTGGAACTTAGGGAAGGATAGCACCATGGTAAATACCACTTAGGTAGACCTGGAGATGGCAGTGTAGCAATAGTCAGTACCTAGCCGATTGTTTTGCCAATACTGGTGGATTTGGGGCGTGCTGGTAATGGGGATTTTAATCTTGGCTTCACTGCATTGGTATAGCCAAAGTCCCTGATAAATGTTTCACAAACCACTTAACAACATCTAGACTGAGACTGTCCAGAGGAGGTGGCATTTTGTATCAAATTTTAAACTGACCCCCTATTCCTATTCAGGATTTGTGACAGCAAATCAGCAGCTCTAACAGATATAAAAAGGTTTTTGCAGAGAAAAGTTCACTATTAAATTGAAAACTATATTTCTTTAAATGGCAGCGAAATAAAGACAACATGGCATAAAGCAGCAAGCTGTAAGAGTAAATGTAATGGATCTTTTAGTAGCCTAACTTTTGTGCTGTAAATTTCTAGTGATTCTGATTTCCCACATTAGTTCAAAATCATCTGGAAAATAAGGTTCAAATGATTTCATGCTACCAATTTGTTCTGCTGTTGAACACTATTAGAACGGGTGCAGAAGTGGCTAACCCTATTGACATAAAAACAAGTCATCAACTTTTCAGCACTGTAAATGAACTCCTTAGCTCCCCACATAATCTCATCATCCTGATGTACATAACATCAAAATATTCTTCCTAACCCCTCAATCCACTAAAAGAAAATTGAAAAAGAAATCAATTGCTAATGGATTTCTGAGGAGATTTTTTCTACAGCATATTCTCTTGTGGTGCTCATGCTCAATAATGATGGTCCTTTGGTTACCAAAAGATACAGCAAAAGTTTTTTTTAAAACACTCTGATGATTCACAGCACACGAAAAATGCCTTTTCAATATTTTCAACAATGTATACCGTGAGGGCACATAGATGAAAACTAACAATATTTGCAATCCAAACAGATTGGCAATCGTGGTGAATTGCAAAGTAATTTAAAATATTTATACAGTGAGCATATGGAAAGTCCCACAAAGTCTGAAACTGCATGGCCCTGAACGTCAAATCTCTGTTAGTGAAGATAGCATCAAGGAATATGGACAAGATTAACAGTGCAAATACATTACATTACAGGTCTAATCCAACTGTTCCTCAGATATGCAAACTTATCTAAGACTGACTCACAGAATTATTTTCAAAAGAACCAATTTTTTTTCCTGGTATATATCCACCTTTGATGCAGGAACCTTACCGTACAACTTCACTTATCATAAACTGTCATGCTTCAATGCTGCAAAGTATTGAAACACATTTCGTACCATATGTTGCATCACATAAGTCAAGTTCATTTTTCCGCCCCCGCACCCCATAAAAGTCATGTTGTTGTATATACTCAGTGTTTAGTCAACCTCCTTTATAGCCATGGCATGTTACACTTGTATTAGCAGTCATCTCAAGTCTTCACCCCACAAGTGCATATTTTTCTTACCTTTTCTTATCTTATAACTGTGAGAAAGGAACGAAACAGATGACATGGCCAATGTTAGATAGGTGCACAGGATTTTAAGGTACACCTAACTTTCCATCAGAGGCAGATAACATTTCAAAATGTCATCATGCACACTCCTGCTGGCACATCACTTCTATACAGTACTTGATGTATGAGTTGACACGGAAGGATAATTCAAGGCTTTGAGGGTCACCTTACAGGCTGACATCTTACAGTACTGACTTACTTCTGATCTTTTATTTGTTAAAAAAAATGTCTACACGTTTGACATTTAAAAGATATGAACAGTAACAATATTAATAAGTTGATCACCAAGCAAAGAAGCTAAGCCCCTAAAGACAACCAAACCCTGACGCATTACTGTCAAATCCCAGAAATGTTCAGCATTAGTATGGAGAGTGGTTATAAAACTGGCTGCTTATTTCCTTTATAATCTGAAGATGGATCATCATAATGACAGAAAATTCAAGAGAAATGGCTTGTATAAATTATACCAGTAATAGTTTGCTATATTTTCCTGCTACTGAATCATAGCAGGGTCTCAGTGGTCCCACCATTATAGCAATGGGTTTCTGCTCGCAAGTGATTTTGTGGGGTGTTATTAATTCCACCATTATCCAAACTGACTTTTCTGCCAATCGCACATTTCCCTTTATTAATCCAACAATGTGGTCATTAAAAGGTTATTTCTTCTCTCTGCGTTCTATGTGAAATTAGACATGCCAAATTCACTACCAATCATATACAAGGGAGAAAATCTTTCCCACAATAATACAGGGTCATACAGTTCCACTAAATATTTGTTAGCAGCTTTGGATTGGCACGTGGACTGTGTGGTAGTAATGAGTTCGGGGAGAATTAAAATCCTGCATCTTATGGAACACGGCCATGTTGTGAATTTTTATGTGGAGTGACATGGGCTCGTGTGAAGTACAGTACTGTCTATTCTGTGAAAACCTGTCAAAATTGCAGCTCAAAGAAGTGACTCACAGATTTCTAGGTACACAAATGTCCAATTATCCCATCTAATCGTAGTTCAAAGGACAGCCTACTACTTCTAAGTCAGAAGGCTGTGGGTTCAAGTCCCATTCCAGAGGTTTGAGAACATGTGAGGAAGGGTCACCAGACCCAAGACGTTAACTCTGATTTCTCTTCACAGATGCTGCCAGACCTGCTGAGCTTTTCCAGCAACCTCTGTTTCTGACTACAGCATCCGCAGATATTTTGGTTTTTATTTGGTTTGAGAACATAGACCAGGCTAACACTTCAACAGCAGTACTGAGGAAGAGCTGCATTTTCAAAAACGAACGGTTTCTGAG